CGCCCATCCTCCGCTCGGCTCCGCAGGTCTGGGCGCTGGCAGCCGGCGTGCTGCTGGCGCTGGCGCCGGGCCGGGCGGGCGCCCCGAGGACCAGCAGGCGGCCGGCGCGGCCTCGGGGCTGCGCGGACCGGCCTGAGGAGCTCCTGGAGCAGCTGTACGGGCGACTGGCGGCCGGCGTGCTCGGCGCCTTCCAGCACACGCTGCAGCCCGGCCCGCGCGAGCAGGCGCGCAACACCAGCTGCCCAGGGGGCCGGCCCGACCGTCGCTTCCGGCCGCCCACCCCGCTGCGCAGCGTGTCGCCCTGGGCCTACAGGTGAGCCGGGCGCGGGCGCGGGCGTGGGCAGGGGGCGGCGGTGGGGGGCAACGGGACGGGGAGCGAAATGGGTAGGTGATGCGGGCAGCTGGGGAGAAGGGTTGACGGGAGTGTCAGGCAGGTGGATTGAGGGGGCGGGGCCACGTGGGTGTCGGGGGCAGGTGGGAAGGGAGGCGACGGGGTTGGGGGCAGTTCAGTTCCACAAAGCCCCATCACCTCTCTTGAAGGAAACCTGCAGCTCTTTACAGCCATGTGGCACATAACGTCTGGGTGGGACCCACTGGATGGGACCGTGTGTATAGGATGGTGGTTGTGGAAGATAACGGAGCTATGACATCACTGTCCAATTGCCTAGTGATGTCATAGCTGTTCTAATGCTGTAGCTCAACACATTCCTCACTGTGGTGATGCTGGTGTAAACGGACCTACTGTGTTGCTGGTTGAATGAAAGTACAGCACGTACGATTATGTACAGTGCATAGTACTTGATAATAAACAACCACCTTACTGGTTTATTACTCACTAGACTATACTTTTTATCTCTATTTTAGAATGTACAATTTCTACTTCAAAGAGTTTGCTGTAGACCAGTGCACCGTGTTGCACGGCCAGCAGCTTGGGACATGTCACATTTACCCGCCTCTTGATTTAATCTCCTGTGTTTTGTACAGTGACAGGCTGTGCAGGCTGGCAGCCCAGGAACACTAGGCTGTACCACACAGCCCAGGTGTGCCGTCGGCTGTACAGTCTAGGTGTGCGTCCGTGCCTCTGTGATGTTCACAGAATGACGGAATCGCCTAAGGACGTGTTTCTCAGGATGTGCTCCCTGTCATTAAATGACACATGACTGTATTTACCTTCCTGTTATTTCATATGCAACAGCTGTTTCTTGAGCACCTGTTCTCTGCCAGGCACAGAGCTTGGTTCCACAAGGGACCACGCCAAGTGGTCCTTTATTCACTTTTGTAGGATTTTGTACAGGGTCCTGTGGAAGTCTACAGACATTTCTTCAGTGCCTATGGTGGTGCAGGGGCTGCTGGGCCTTGGACCCCGGAAGCCTTCTGAGCCCTTTAGCTTACAATGCAAGGGAGGAAAGGAGAGATAATTGGGAAATAAACCATAATACAAGGCACAACATGATTTGACTTGAAAAGATGACCATGTGATAGTTTAAAGTGGTAGGTGGGAGAGGATTTTGGAGGATTAAAATGGCACTTGAAATGCACTTTGGAGAGTGGGTGTAGTTCCAATATTGCTAAAGACCTCATCTCAGAGGGAAAGGGGCGTTACCCAACTCAAGGGGCTCGCTGCTTGGAGTGTTCTATTTAAGAATGGGATGTGGCTGTCATTAGGTAATTTTATTTACTTGCAGCAAAGAAAGGAGATGGGATTCACATCCAAAGATGTCTTCTGAAAGGGAGACTTAGCTTATATATATCACATGTTGATTTCTTCTTTGAAGTTGTGAAAGTTATTGGGTTCGGTTCCTGGTCCAGCTCATCTGCTGACAGCTGCGTCTGCAAAATAACTGCTATGTTTTAACATTTAACAGGAATAGCATTTAGTAAGAACCGCCCATGACTTGAGACCTTTGTCCTATCAGCAGCAGCATGCAGAAAGGGGAGGCTAGCGCATTCTGGGGTGTGTGCCGTAGCAAGAGTGCCCTCAGCACACATGCCCTCAACACTCCCCTCCTCTGCTGTACTGCTGAGGGTCACCGCCTTGAGGGGCTCAGTCTAGCTGCACAGGAGAAGCCCTCACATTGACACAGATGTCTGAAAAGGCTTCCAGAGAAAGAGCTGATAGGACAAAGGTTCAAGTCATGGGTGGTTCTTACTAAATGCTATTCCTGCTAAATGTGTGATGGGTCCAGGCTTCAGGCCACACAGCTGTGGAGCTGTGCAGGGAAAACAACAGTTTTGTCAAGCCAGCCTGGGTGCACCAGAGTCCCCACCTCCTGGCTAGTGGGCCTCCCTCCTCCCGGCTACTCTGCAAAGGACCAAGTTCACTGTGGGCCAGCCTCCCGCCCGGAAGTCAGGCACACAGCCCCCTCCAGCCCTCCTGCTCCTCACGCATCTGATGCCCTCAGGATTCCCATGTCCAAGCATTCGTTCTGGTGGCTTCATGCTCTTGCTTTCTCCTTGTTTCTTCCCACCATCCAGAGCCCAAAGTGTGGACTGTTAGATAATCCTTTCTGCGTCCTCCTATTATACTTTTAATCAGCTCAGCAGCATTAAAGAAACTTGGAAAATCTCTCAGGGCAATAGCTTAGCTTCTCTGGACAGAAGCCGCTCCCTCTGCATTTTTCTATGACGTCTAACCTCCCCAGGCAAACAGATGCCCCCTAGTGGCTGAGGGCCTGGGGGCCAAAAGGCGGAAGAGTGTAAGCAGAGTTTTTTCAAGATCTCCCACTGGCGTGTCTCCCTGTTTTTGGCTTGGGTTGTTGGTGGTATTTAAGCACAATGGGGAGACAGAAGAAGGAACAAACAAGTTTTTTGGAAGGAAATGAATTCAGAGCTGGACCCATTGAGTTTCATGTGCTTGACAGGTACACAGGTGTAAATGACCAGTGGGCCCTGGAAGTGTGGTCTCAGGAGAGAGGAGGCTGGAGTATAGGTGGGTGTTGTCAGCCCTAGAATTCTACACACAGTAAGTTAAGCCGAGCCGCCCCTGTCGCCTCTCCTGGGGACTGATACCTGCGCCTCCCACAGAGCGATCCCGGGGGCAGGGGGCCAGCTCCGGGGTTACAGACAGGAACAGCACGCAGCGTTGAGTGGTCCTGGCCTGGGATGCCCCATCTGCCCAGGGAGCCTTTGTGCTGTGTGTGGGGGGCCTGGAAGAGGAGCTGCATCTATGTCTGGCGGCTGGCAGTCTCATCTGTGGTGTTTGTCATATGATTTTGTGACTGATGAAATTGCTCCCCAGGAAGCTTGTGGCCTCTGAAGGAAGGGCAGTTTTCTAGGGACAGGCCATGGGCCAGGATGCAGATGGCTAGATACTAAAGCTGATCCTTCCCTTTGCTGCCAGGAGGCTGCCTCTCTGCCAGGTGGGGTGCCCGGTTGGGTGTGTGCCCCCCTGGGGGTCCTGAGGCTGGGACCAGAAGTGTATTTCAGGCTAAAGGCAGAGCACTTAAGAACGGTGGAAATGGGCTGCAGGTCAGAAATACTGAAAGGCACAGAGGGACCATTCTACGTGGATACAACAGGCTTCGAAATACAGACCTGGAGTGGCAGGTGGCTTGCCATATCTTCAGGGGACAGCGGGGCATTCAATAGGTGGTGTTGGGATGGCTGAGTAACCAGCTGGAAAAAATACAATTGGATCTCATTCCTATATGAAAATAAATTCCATTTATTCCATAAAAAATAAAACTGGAAAACAGATAAAAACACAGCTGTGTAGTAGCTCACAGACCCCCAAAGTCATGAGACAAAATTGACGAATTCAGTTACTTCAGCATATGCCATTTTTTCTTAGCGAAACTTACAAAATAAAAACACAAAGGTAGACTGGGAGAAACACCACAGCCCATGTCACAGAGGCTCCTTTCCTGAAGAGCTCCTACCAGCCAGTGAGAGGAAGGTGTCCCGGAATGGTGAGCAGTGGCCGTGGGCAGTACCCAGGCAGGATGGTCGGCACATGACACAGACAGCTGGCCCAGGAAGAGATGCTGGGCTTCAGGGACAGGAAGCCAATTGCTTATGAAAACTACGCTGAGAAGCCTTTTTCTTTACTTTTTTTTTGGCAAGGGTACAGGAAAAAGCATTCTTGTACAGTAGAGGTCTGTGCGCGTTGGTACAACTTTTATGGAGGGCAGTTGGGTACTAAACATCAGCATTTTAAATTGGCATGCTCTCTGATGGAGCAAAGATGTGACTCAGATGTCACACTTGCCATGTTCCCAGTGATGTTCACTGTAGTAATAGCAGGGGGCAGCTCCTTTGGCTATGTGCCCCAGAAGCAGCTGTAAAGAGGCGGGGGCAGCTGTGAAGGTGCCTAGCAGAGTCCATCACGGGCGCCAGGGGATGCAGCAGAGTGCTCGGTGCAGACAGCATGCTGCCACCGGTGCTCAGAGAGGAGCGCTTCCATAAGACGCATGTTAAGTGCTGTTTTAAATCGTATATACACACACACTCTCTCTCTCTCTCTCTCTCTCTCTCTCTCTCTCTCTCTCTCTCTCTCTCTC